CCAAGGTGACCTTTAAATCTAACAATAATCTTTGTAACCAAATTCCTTCACAAATTCCCTATGCCATAGCTCGAAATTCTGCTTCTACGCTACTACGAGTTACAACTGATTGCTTCTTGCTTTCCCAAATCACCAAGTTTCCCCACACATAAGAACAATATCCAGAAGTTGATCGTCGATCTGTAATGGATCATGCCCAATCTGCATCTGAATAAACTTTGATATTTCTCTTAGAAGTTCTTGAGAAGAATAAACCCTTACCCGGAGTCATCTTGAGATATTTCAGAATTCTGTATACTGCAGTCATATGTCTCTCCATCGGGCAATTCATGAACTAGCTAACTACACTGACGGAGAAACTGATGTCAAGTCTAGTGTGGGAGAGATAGATGAGTTTCCCCATAAGGCATTGATATCGTCCCTTGTCGATAGGAGCACTCCCATCATTAACTTCGAGCTTGACTGTTGGATCCATGGGGGTTTCGACAGGTTTACAACCAAACACTCCCATTTCACTCAACAAATCCACAACATACTTATGTTGGGAGACAGAGATGCCTTTACTTGACCTACCAATTTCCATCCCCAAGAAGTACTTGAGATTCCCTAGGTCCTTGATCTCAAATTCTTTATCCAAGAATTGTTTGAGAAGTCTAATTTCTCCCTCATGGTCACCTGTCAGAATGATGTCATCCACATAAACAATAATAATGGTCATCTTCCCTTTAGGGAAGTGTTTCAAGACAGAGTATGGTCAGATTGACATTGGAAATATCCATAACCTTTTATTGCTTTAGTAAATCTCCCAAACCATGTCCGCAGAGATTACTTGAGTCCATACAAGGATTTTCGAAGTCTACAAACCTTGTTGGAGTTAGATGATGTCTCAAGCCTGTCAGGAATATCCATATAGACTTCTTCCTCTAGATCACCATTGAGGAAGGCGTCTTTCACATCCAGTTGATGCAAATACTAATTAAGATTAGTTACCAAGGATAAAAGTATACGAACAATGTTGAGCTTGGCAACTAGAGCAAAAGTTTCCTGATAGTCAATGTCATATGATTGGGTGAATCATTTGGCAACCAAACGAGCTTTGTACTTGTCCACACTACCATCCGCCTTAAATTTCACTGTGAAGATCCACTTACACCGAACAATTTTCTTACCTCTCAGAAGATCAGTAATTTCCCAAGTTCCATTCTTTCTTAGTGTCTGAATCTCTTCATTAACGACAACCTTCCACTTAGAACACTCAAAAGCTTCCTGAATATTGTGAGGAACCTATATCTCTATAAGACTACTAGTGAAGGCACAAAAAGAAAGTGACAAACCATCATATGAAATAAGTTTCCAATGGGATGTTGAGTGCATGACCAAACCCCTTTTCTCCAAGCTATAGGCATATCTAGGATCTCGTTTTTTAACTCAAAATCAATAGAACCATCTAAGTTATAACTATTACCCAGAATTTTGGGAGGATTAAGACTTGGTTCAGCTTCATGGTTTTATTGAGGAAGTGTTTTTTCCTCTGTTTCCTCTTGGATGTGCTCCGTATCCCGCAAATCAATAATGACTCGGTGTTTTCGACAGGTAGAGGCTGACTAAATGACTAGAGGAATGTGATTTTCTGTGGTGATGGGTGACTCTAGGAATGACTCAAAGTCCCAAAACTGATATTCCTGAGTTGAGTTCTCCCCTTGAATATCAATTTTGGGGTAGTATGGTTGATTCTCAAAAAAGGTGACGTCCATTGAATTATAGAATTTTCCTGTGACAGGAGAATAACACTTATATCCTTTTTTATTTGTCGAATACCCAAGGAAAATGCACTTAAGTAACGTAAGATCAAGTTTACTTCTATGTTGTTGATGGACATGAACAAAGACAGAGCATCCAAAAATTTTAGGGGGAATAATGGAAATGAGACGAGTAGTCGAAAAAGATTTTAGAAGGATTTGACATGGTGTTTGAAATTTTAGCACCCTAGATGGCATCTTATTGATAAGATATGTTGCTATAAGAACGGCTTCCCCCTAGAAGAATTTAGGTACATTTGTGGAGAACATTAGCGACCTAGCTACCTCTAACAAATGTCTATTTTTCCTTTCATCGACTCCATTTTGTTGTGGGGTGTGTACACAGGAACTTAAGTGAACTATCTATTCTTTTGATAGGAATTCCCCTAGAACGACATTGAAGTAATCTCTAGCATTGTCAGACTTTAGGATTTGGATTTATGACTGGAATTGAGTCTAAATCATATTTTTGAAATTTTTAAAGATTTGACTTGTTTCTTATTTGTCTTTCATAAGGAACACCCCAATTAATCTAGTATGATCATCTATGAATGAGACAAACCGCCTAGGACCCATTACATTTTTATTTTTGATGGACCCTAGATATCGTTTTGAATCATAGAGAATGGTCTAGATGCAATAGGAAAATGAGATCGGACATGCTTGGATAATTGACAGATTTCATACTCAAGAGATTTTGGATTTTTATTAAATAACGAAAGAAATAAATGTTTGAGGTACATAAAATTGGCATGACCTAAACAATAGTGCCATAACATAATAGTACTATCATTATTTTGACGAAATACTGAAAAAAAAAAAAAAAAAAAAAAAAAAACTAACATTAACTGTTGTTTGAGGTTGTTCTCGTGAAAGGGGGTACTCTTTAAAGATATAGAGTCTAGAGCACTCCTCAGCATTGCCAATCGTCTTCCCCAAATCCAAATCCTGAAATTCACAATGAGTGGAGAAAAAATTAGTAACACACCTCTTTTCCTTAGTAAGTTTACTAATTGACAACAAATTATAGTCCAAGTTAAGAACAAAAAGAACAGAATTGAGTGTAATATCCTTTGATAACACAATTGAACTTGTACCAGTAACCTTTGATAATGAACCATTTGCTATTCTAACAATTAAATTATTTGGACAAGAGTTAAATAAAGCCATTTCATCCCCCATCATATGATCAGATGCTTCTGACTCCACAATCTAGGGTTTGTCTTGTTTCTTATACACAGAAAAAACGCTCATAGAGCCAAGGTTCTAAAACTAATGACATGATGTGAAGACGAACCGGTTTGTGACTGAGTAGACAAAAAAGGAGACAATAATTTTTGAAGTATCTCTCTTTGTTCCTTATTAAAAGGACTTACTTCAGGTGATGGTGGCTCCTTTGTGGAGGTGTGATTTCCTCAGCCTTCTTTCTCCATCTGACGTGATAGCTTCTAACCAAATGGCTTCCCATGTAATTTCTAGCATGTTTCCCTCAAATGTCCTGGTTTTCTGTAGTGATCACACTAAGGCCTTCCTCCTTTATTTTTTTAACGATTATCTGAATGGGCAAATTGAGTTCCCTTAGTGAAAAAAGCAAAGTTTTCGACTACATTCGGATGTTGAGATGACCCCATCGTGACTTTCTTTCTACTTTCTTCCCGTTGGACTTTAGAGAAAGCTTCTCTAAAACTAGGTGATGTCTTTGCTCCCATGAGTCTCCCACGAACATCATCAAGATTTTTATTCAAACCTAGCAAAAACTTGTAAACAGGCTTTTTCTCTACAATCTTTTTGTACAGTAATCCATCAGTAGTACATGACCAATTATGAACCTCATACATATCAAGTTGACACCTATTGCGAGTAAGAATATTAAAATATTGAGTTACCGTAAGATCTCCTTGTCGCGGATCATGGAGAATCCCTTCAATCTTTGTCACCTCTGAAGTGTTCTCGATGTCAGAGTAAGTCTCCTTGGCTGCACCCCAGATCTTCTTAGCAGTTTCAAAGGCCAGAAAATTCTCGCCAATGTCCATATTCATTAAGTTGTCGAGCCATGACATCACCATGTCGTTTTCTACCAACCACCTCTTGTAGGTAGGAGCCGTTGGTTTTGGGGCTATAGAATCACCAATATGGTAGTCATATTTCTCTTTCCCCCAAATGAACATTAAGAGGGATTGAGACCATAGGACATAATTTTGTCCATTTAATTTATGAAAGGTAATAGGAACATTGGTGGCTTCTATATTGTGAACAAAAGAAGATGAAGGAACGATGATGCCCGAAGAAATTGAGGAATAATTACTTTCTATAACCATACTAGAGCCTGGTCCGTATTTGGGCATGAAGGTTTGGAAGACCCAAAGATAATGAGTAGGAAAAACTCGATAATGAAGATTAAAGAGACAGGATTAAATCTGCTATGATATCATGTAGAAAATAAAGACTTGAAGAAGGAGAAAACACAAACTTTATTTCTTCTTGTGATATTCTTATTGAATAAAGAAGACATAAATAAATAGGTTATGAGAGTAAGACAATTCTGGAAAAGAATCTCTCTTAAAGGAAAAAATAAAAATAAATCAAGAAGATTTGACAATTAGGAATTCAATCTTCTTGTAAAAGGAAAAGAATAATTAAGAAAACCAAAAACTCCTAAAATAATAAAAACTCATGAAAAACAAGATACATTAGCTAATACATAATAAGGAAACAAAACAACCAAATAAACACAGTCAATAACTTGACTTTCAACAATGACATGCATCATGAAGTCATGCATGCACATTCTTGAGGATGAGACATAAGAATCATACATAAAACCTTTGTTGAAAACATGCTTCCCCTATATCATGGTGCTATTTCTACTGCTCTTTCCATAATTTATTGTCGAAGACGACCCCTTCAATCAGGCAAATCACATGGCCTGTTCCCATTCCACCTAATCAAACGTCCAGGATCAAATCCTACCAAATCATCAAAGCAACCAACAGCCCTTCGATCTGTCCCATTTCCAACTTATGGTGCCGACCTTTTACAGTGTTTCAAGGGGGCACAAAGTCCCCACGTTTGCCTCTCATGTGACCGACCACTTAACCCTTAGTTGACCTGTCACTTCTCCCACTATGTTTATTAATTTTCTCTTCTTATAATCTTTGTATAAAACCCTCTCCATTTCTTAACCAAACTCTTCATTGAATCATACCAACAACGAAAAAAAAAAAAAAGTTGTTTAAAAAATTAAAAATTAAACAATTCTTCTAACCAAATGGAGAAACAAGGTCTGGAACTTGAAATTACAGAGCTTAGATTAGGTCTTCCAGGCGGCGGTGACAACAAGATTAATGAGAAGAAAAGGGTTTTCTCGGATATCTCAGCAGATGAAGCGAATGCCACAAACGATGATCGGAAAATTCATACGAAGAGCCAAGTCGTGGGGTGGCCGCCGGTGTGTTCCTATCGGAAGAAGAACAGTTTTAACGAGAAAGATCGCCTGGAAACATCGAAAATGTACGTGAAAGTTAGCATGGATGGGGCTCCTTTTCTTCGTAAAATTGATTTGGGGATGCACAAAGGTTACTCGGATCTTGCCATGGCGTTGGAGAAGCTCTTTGGTTGTTTCGGCATAAGTAAGTGTTCCTCTCGTTTTTGTTATCTGTGGGAAAAAAAAAAAAAAATTGAAACTAGAAACTAGTTTAACATGTTTATAATTAGCCATGCAAAATTAAATTTATTTAATATGATTATAAATTAGTTTATTTAGGCTTTATTCTTAAAAGATAAATACATAATGGAAAAATGGAAACGATTTGCAAAATTAAACTTCCTTTATTAGTTCAGATATTAGAATTTTAACTGAATGAAGAAATAATAATAATAATTTTGAAAGTTTATTTGCATGGGAGTTAATTAAAAAGGATATAGGGAAAGATAAAAGAAATTTTGCCCACTAATATTTTCTAATTAATTTGTCATATTAATTTTAAAATTATATTTTCTAGATTAATGTTCTTATTGTTCTTAAATGAACAGAAAATACAATCCAAATCAAATGAACAAATTAGAGAAAATATAGTAATATATAGCTGAAAAATTAGGATATAAATCCAACAATTTAATCAGGATAATACTTGTAGTTTTCCAACTGTAAATTAAAAAATCGAGCCTCAAATTTATGCATNATAAAAAAAATAAACCAACTAGGGTTATCCGATCAACCTTGATGGGATCGAAACCATTGTGTGCGTGATTATGAGTAACTAGCAATATGTAACTGAAAATGTAGTAAGGAAAATGACACAATGGAATTTTAAAGTGGTTCAGTGAGTTAAACTCTTGAGCTTATGTCTACTATTTTTGTGTTTGCTATAAGAGCTTACAATAACAATCATAGAATAATTTGCTAATCACTTTCTCACTATTGGAGGGGGTTTGTATATAGATTTTGTATAAAAGAAATAGCGAAAATGAAGGGATTACAAATAAGCTTGAAATGCAACTCTTATATTTTTACGATTGAGCGGTGTGATTGAGCAAAGATTACTATTGATCTGATTCTTTTCGAGATACCCAGGATTTGAAGTTATCTATGGATTAGTTGAACAATTGTAAGGATTTGTCACGACTAGCTTATACTAGGTCGAGCTACAATTCGACGAGCTTATGTTGGGTCGGACAATCGGTAAAGTCAAGCTAGTTCTAGGACAAGCTATAACCTCTCAATCCTCCAAGCTTGAAGGAAAAATCACACACAACACTAAGGGATATGGATCCTATCCTGGACTATCCTTAACTTTTAAACATCTTTTGCCATGTATTAACTCAAATTTTAACAATAAGAAAAATAGATTTTATTCGTGTGATGATATTAGAGACTTGTTTTATGCCCGAGACCTTCCAATGGAACATTCAAGTTGAACTATTTGTTATACCATTCTGATGCTACTCTTTATTTTGCCGTAATGGCTCCAATTTCTGCAGCACATGCAATGCTACTTTCAATAGTGCATAACACCTCTTCCATCCTAAAGCAATTTGATATTATAATTCAATCCGTATGTAGTTAGATGTTCACGTTCTTTAGTCATTAAAAATGGAAGATTCTGTAGGATATACACGAACACATACTTTACAATCAATACATTTATCAAATTAAAAAATGGATTGGACCGTGAAAATGCTCCCATGAGAGATGTTTTCTGTAAATTTTGATTAATATGCAAACTGTTATAGTATCATGATAGAGGAAGAAAGTGTCATTCAATGAGAAACTTTGATGATTCTATAACATAGTTACACATGCTTAGCACATTTGACTAATATTTTAGGCAATCCATTTGCAAATCTTACATTTGAAGGAGGACTTCTGTGTCCAAGGAGTGAACTTCCAATTGATCAAGCAGTAAATGGTTAGTTTTCACAACACTTGCTCATTCTTTGCATTTGCTTATTGATGTTATAGCTAGTTTCCCAATGCTCTTGCAATAGAAGTGCATCTTACTACAAATAGAAATCACTTCTTGTCCTAAAGGTTTTTCTAAATCCTATAGATAATTTAGATATTTCTGTTACTCAAGAAGCCGCCAAAAAACAGAATAGAGAACGGTCTCTGTTTCAAACCAAATAAATCAGGCTCTAAACGAACGAGTCTGAGCAATGATCACCGCTTATACCGCTCACTCTGATCACTCTTCCTAAGCATTTTCTTTGTAACGTGACATGGTTCGCAAAGGCCAGCCACTGCCTAACCAGTTTATATACCCGCATGTTTTGAAATCTTGTCCTGAGGTTTGGGGGTCTTGTGGGACTAAAATGTTGTGTCTTGAGCTGCTATGATTTCTGGGTATGCAAGAGTTGGGGATATTAAGAATGCTGTTTTCTTTTTGAGGAGATGCCCGATCGATGTTTGTACAAACAACTCACTATAACCTTCTTCATGAGGTCTTTCTACTATCCAATATAATATTTCCTTTCACAACTGATAAAAATTTGTGTCTTATACTCTGCACCAGTTCTAGCATAATCTTTTAAATCTCACTAAAGATTTTGTAGTAAGCCTCTTTAATATATCATAATGAATATCTTAGAGGCAAATAAAATCCTTTTCTTGTTTCTTTCATTCTATACTTACCAATAAACCTTTTAATAGTTCCCAAAATCTGTTTTCGTCCCACTCTTTTTTAAGGCTTAAAATACACTTTAAATCCACGGGTGTCTCTGACTCGACTTTCAAGTCTCGAAGCTCTCGACTATCACTTGTATTTTAGTAGCATCCTCTAGTGTTGACTAATAAATTGGTGACGCTATTTGATAGAATATGTTGTTAGTTACAAAAGAAGCCGCCAAAAACAAAACACAGAATGCTAGAATGGTCTCTGTTGCAAACTATTGAAGAACATAAGAGTGGTTCGGTTTAAGGGGAAATGTGAAGAAATAGTTAGGATGAAAATGTAATGATTTAAGAATCTAGTTACATGATATAATAACCCATTTTTGGAAAGTCTGAATTGTTTGGATTAGCCTGGAACGCATAGGTTTTCTCCACACGTTTTCAAGTTCATTCAACCAGTTCAAGACTTCCTTCACTTGTTTCTCTCCAGTGAATGTCAGGGTATCTAACACGTTGGTCACTGTCTCATTCCATGGCATGACTAAACATGGGTTGCTTTTCAAAAAGCATTGCTTCACGTTTTACGACTGAAGATTCTCTCCAAAAACAGTCAGAAGAGCATGGTTGCGGATTGATTTCTACAATGCTAAAGGTACGGATGCTGTTAACTTCATCCCATAATTAGGAGATTAAAAATACCAGCCAGTTGAAATCTGGAGCATGGTCGATTGATTTGCTGTTGCAGGTTTGCAAATGCTTCTCTTGTAGGATTTTTCCCTGTATTTGCTGCTTGAGATGAAACTGTTATCTGAAAATTCTGCATTGTAACTTCTAATCAGATTCTTTAGCAAATTTTATGATTCAATTCTAATTTATATCGTTATTCTTTGCTTTTTGTGGTGCTATTATTCTTGTTGACAAATTTGATGTTTCTTTATCGATTTTCTAAACAGTTATGTCGAGGGTGAATTTGGGGCTTGTATCATGGATCACATGTATGCGGAAAAAATACTGAAAGGTGGCGGATGATTTATTCCATGGGTGGTTAGATCATGTAGTGTGGGGCAAGAAGGTGATGTAGCATTGGAAGTGAGAGGACAGATTTCATGCATCATGTTATTGCTCATTTTGCTTCCTAATCTAGTATACTTGCATACGTATGCTGGTAATCAGAAGAATACTTGCAGGAGCATTACGTCATGAAGCAACCACAAGAAGCATTATTACTGTATTTTAATCCTGTGCCAAATTGATTGATGCTAAATGAAATCTGCTAATGATATTCAGAAAGATATGCTTAACTACCTGCCACTGCTATTGACATGAGTCATTGGGTACCAATCTGAAAGTTGAAGAATCTTCGACAAAGTGATGAAAAGTCAGACATAGATGGGCGAGCATTTAGATCATAATCTACACAGTTTCTAGCGAGCTGAGCCATGGAGAATGCCAAGTCTAAGGGGTACTCGTTCCTTAATGAAGGATCAAGAAGCCTCTGGTTTCTCTCTTGTATTGCCAACTCCTTCAAGCCCCCCTGTTATGAATCCAGAAAGTAAATCATCTTCACTTGTGCCACCTGTTGCAGCATCTCTTCCGGATAAGAGCTCCAAAATCACAGCCCCAAGGGCAAAAATATCTAGTTTAGGGGTTACCACTCCATTCTTGCTATACTCGGGAGCCATATAGCCTGGATTACCACTACATTCCTGATGGTATTTGGCCGGAGAACTCTAGAAGAAAAGGAGAAAATGCAGAAGGTGAACTGCTATTTTTATTATACTGAACTTGCAATATATATACAATAAAGCTTACTGTTTTACCAACTACAACAACCATTTAGACTTTTAAATTTCAAAAACAAAGTTGGTAACTTAATACATCCTTAGTCTAAGTGATTATACCTAATCATGTCACAAAAAATAACAACTCCAGCACAACTCCAGCAGCTTCCGTTTCAGCAGAAAACAAGGGAATGCACCTGCTACTTGGCACCGAAACTAATTCAAAAACAAATAACTTAACTGAATTTTCCAGCAAATTATCAATGCTTCAACACTCCTCCTTGATAATTTTGCTGGAAACACCAAGTCTGATCCTGAAGCTTTCAACTTGGTTTTAGATAATCCCTTAGTTAGGATGTCAGCCACTTGATCATCACCATTGCAGTGGACCAGTTTCACTTCTCCTTCCTGCTCAGCTTCTCTCACTGCATGGAACTTGATCTTTATGTGTTTAGTTCTCCCATGATGGACTGGATTCTTAGCCATAGCCACAGCCGATTGATTATCACACTTATCACAGTAGTAGCTTCTGTTTCAGCTTCAAATCTTCAAGATTTTTCTCAGCAGACAGCCTGATTCACAGCAGCTGCAGCTGAAATGTACTCTGCCTCTGCTGTGGATTGTGCAACCGTTTCTTGCTTCTTCGACATCCAGCAGATTGCACCATGGTTCAGGAAGAAAGTATACCCTGAAGTGCTTTTCATGTCCTCCATGAACCACCCCAGTCACTATCTGAAAAACAATTAACCAAAGTCTTCTGACCTCCTGTACCATACTCCAAAGCTGGTGCTCCCTTTCACATACCTGAGCACTCTTTTTGCACTCTAAAATGTGTTTCTTTGGGCTGATTCATAAACCTGGACAGTAGGCTAGTTGCAAACATGATGTCTGGCCATGTTGCTGTAAGATACAGCAAACACCACCAAGCTTCTGTACTGTCCCTCATCAACACTTTCTGCATTTTCATCTCTTGACAGCTTCAGATTTGGAACCAGAGGCACACCACTGATTTGCAATTTCCATATTGAACTTCTTCAAAACTTCAATCGCATACTTTCTTGATTAAAAAATCCCAGCTGAACTTTGATGAACCTCATTCCAAGAAAGTAAGCCATTTCTCTTAAATCTGTCATCTCAAACTCATCAAACATAGACCTCTTGAATTCTTCAAGTTGAGTTTGCTACTCCCTGTCACAAGTAAATCATCAACATACAGGGAAATGATCATAATATCTTCATCAATCTCCCTAACATACAATGTATGTTCATTTGGACTTCTCACAAAATCCAAATTCAGCAAGTGATTGTTTATTCTGCTGTACCAGGCCCTAGGTGCCTGTTTAAGGCCATACAAGGCCTTCCTTAGGAGATACACTTTGTCTTCCTTTCCCCTGACTTTATACCCTTCCGGTTGCCAACATATATCTCCTCATTCACCATCCATTAAGGAAGGCAGATTTGATGTCCAACTGAATATTTTCCATGAGAATTGGCTGCCACTGCAAGTAGTAGTCGGATTGTGTCATGCCTTGCAACTGGTGCAAAGGTATCCAGAAAATCAACTCCATACTGCTGAGCAAGCCTTTGACAACCAGCCTTGCTTTGTGCTTGAGGACTGAACCATCCGGATTGAGCTTCTTCTTGAAAATCCATTTAACTTGGATCACTTTTCTGTTTTGAGGTCTGTCTACCAAGTTCAAGTTTGGTTCTTTTCAATCATTGCAAGCTCCTCTTTCATGGCCACTCTCCACACTTCTGATTTTGCACCTCAAAGTAACATGTTGGCTCAAGTGAAGCCATGTTGCATCTCTCATAAACCTCAGCTAAAGGTCTGGTACCTCTAACTGAAATTTCATCTTCCACATCACTCTCAACATCATAAAAAATCTGCTCATGTACAGCTTCTGTCCAGCCTGGTTTTGTCTCTACATCAAGTTTGTTTTCTTCCCAATTCCATACTCCATCCTCATCAATCTTGACATCCTGGAAATCTGAATTTTTCTGGTTTCTGGAACATATACCCTATAGGCTTTTGATTGACTGCTATAGCCTATAAAGATACCAATTAATGCCTTCTCATCTAGCTTGGACCTTTTTGCTGCTGGAACCAAAATGTACCATATACTCCCGAAAATTTTTAGCCTCTCTACTGTTGGTTTAACTCCATTCCATGCTTCATAGGGTGTTTTGCTGTCCAAGGCTTTTGTGGGAAGCCTATTGAGCAGAAAAACTGCTGTGTAACAGCTTCTGCCCAAAATTTCTTTGGCAATCTCTTCTCAGCCACCATGCATCTAGCCATCTCTACAACTGACCTGTTTTTCCTCTCACTGACTCCATTTTGCTGTGGAGTGTAGGGCTACTGTATTGGTGCTTAATTCCAGCATCTTTGCACACTGTCTCAAACCTTGAGAATGTACTCTGTACCATTATCACTTCTCAAGTCTTATGGTTTTTTCTGCTTGATTTTCCACCAGAAGCTTGAATCTTTGAATACACCAGCAACCTGTCCTTTTTGCTTCAGAA